TTGCCACCGAAGCCGCCTCCTCCCTTGCCCCTGCCACGGGCATTCTTCCCACCGCCGCCAGCCCCTTTGCCTCCACCAGCTCTGCCTCCGAGGTGGGCTGGCGGTTGAGGACCAGGGGCGAGAGCGGGAAGATGGCCTCCAGAGGACGAACCAGCCCATGCACCATCGGGAGCAGGAGCAGCCCGAAACGACGGAGAAGCCCAGGGCGTGCCGCAGTGCTTGCACAATGGCGTCGTCGTCTTGTTCCTTCCACATCCACACGAGCTGCACTTCCATGTAGGGGTACGCGTGAACGGACGTCCCGTGCGCCAGGGGTACTCCTCGCCCGCCTCTCGGCCATCCATCCGTGCGCGCGCTGAGAGAAAAGGCCCCTCGACCTGAGTAAGGGCGAAAGCGATGCCGCAAGCCAATGGCCCGCAATAGCACAGCCGCTCTGAAGTTCGCTGCTGCAAGCCCAAGACTGGTCCAGAACGGCTATGATGATGATGATGAGGAGGAGGAGGAGCAGCAGGAGGAGGATAAGGAGGCAGACGTCGTGAGCGGTGGGACTCCTCCATCCCCGATCGATCCTTTCCGATCCTCGATGCTCCTCGATCCTCGATCCTCGTCCCTGATCCTCGATGCTCGATCCTCGAACCTCGCTCCCAGGTCCTTGATCCTCCCCGATCCTCCCCGATCCCCGATCCTCATCGAGGCTCGATCCCCCCGATCCTCTCCGATCCCCGATCCCCATCGATCCTCGATGTCCTTCCTCCTCCCTCGCTCCTCGATCCTTTTCTCGATCCTGCTCGACATCCTCCCCAGCTTCTCGGCACTCCCCGCTGCCCGAGATGCCCCTCCCCGATGCCCCTCGATCCTGGACGCCCCTCGCTCCTCCTCAAGCCCAGACTTCTTCTCGAGCAGTTCACCTGCCAGTGAGCCGGGCTACGTCTGAGTCATGCCCCCTCTCGCGGGCCCACTTTTTCAGCCTGGGCTTCTTCTTCTCCTCCTCCTCCTCCTCCTCCTCCCTTTTCTTCTTCTCTTTTTTTCTTTTTCTTCTTCTGCCTCTTCTTCTTCTTCTTCACATTTCGATTATTCCTCTTCTCCTCCTTCTTCTCCTCCTTCTTCCTCTTCTCCTTCTCCTTCTTCTTCTTCTTCTCCTTTTCCTTCTTCTTCTTCTTCTTCATCTTCTTCTTCTTCTTCTTCTTATTCTTCTTCTGGCCTTCCTCCAGAGCCCACCGCGGGCGGGGCGGAGGCGCCGACCTCCCCGGCGGCCTCGCGGGCCGCTGCCCGCCCTGGGCCGACTGGGCGGCCTGGTGGGGCGCGCCCGCGCTCTGGCCGCCGGGGTCCGCCCCGCCGCGCCGCCGCCGCCCTCGCGGCCGCGGCGACGCCGACGGCGCGGGCGACACCGGCGGCGTGTCGGCGGCGCCGACGCCGATCTGGGGCATCGGGGAGGATCGGACCCGAGAGGGGTTCCTCGCGCCGCGACAAAAATCACGACGGGAGGTTGGTTTGCCATTTTCGGCCTCCAGAGGCCCTCGCCGGGCCCCGGGGACCGTCCAACAACGACTCTCGGGAGGAAAGACCCGTCCCGGGGAAGGGGTCCAGACCTCTGAGGGGGCACGTCACGCAGAGTCACGGCGTCGGGGGTCTGGGGACGCCGACGGCGCCGGCGCCGATGCCGATGTGGAGCATCGGGGAGGATCGGACCCAGGAAGGACTCCTCTTCTGCCCCCCCCTGACTCTTGTTATCTGCGTTTTCTTTCCTTCGTGTTTGCAGCAGACGCCACCGCACCGAATCCATCAGTCAGTCGTGCCACAGCACCATGGCTGGGACTGCAACGCCCCGAATCAAAGTGAAGTGACTGTTTCGTCCTGACAATCCGAAACTGAACACCACTCCTGGGACTTCAACACCGCGAAGCGACGTGACCGTTGAGTCCTGACAGTCCCACATCGTGCCAGAACAGAGCATTCCTTGATTAACACTACGGATCTTTGGAACTGCTGCACTTTTGAATGCGACCCACCCTCTATCCGTGAAACGGTTGCAAGCCTCAAGACGAACGTGCGCGGCGCTCTGGCGACAGCCACATTCTGGAAACGCCCGCGCTCCGTCCTGGAAGTGTTGCAAGCTTGAGAGGCGAATGCCGCCAGGGCGAGAGCCATATTTTGAGAAACGAGCCGCCGCCTATCCTCACATTTGTTACGACTTTCAAGCTTCAGGATCATGGACGGTGAGGAAGCCTCAGGCGAAACGCCCCGCCCGCCCAGCCGACACGTCTGGGGGTGCGACAGGGAGGAGTTATGAGGAAACGGAATGGAGGAGGAGGAGGAGGAGGAGGAGGAGGAGGAGGAGGAGGAGGAGGAGGAGGAGGAGGAGGAGGAGGAGGAGGAGGATGAGGAGGAGGAGGAGGAGGAGCAGGAGGAGGAGGAGGAGGAGGAGGAGGAGGATGAGGAGGACCCAGTGCAAACTCAAGAGTCATCAACGATGTTGGAATAAACCCTCCCTCCAAGCTCCCTCTTCATAGACCCCTGCGACAGTTCATTTCCACTGAGGGAACTGCCTCGTTGGAAGCCAACCGTTCGAAGACCTTCAAGCATGCCAAAACATTGTTCTCGGGATTCCAACGCCACGGATCAGCCTGACTTTTGCGTTTTTGACGATCCTGAATCGTGCCAGAACGCCATTCTCTGGACTTCAACACCGCGAATCAAAGGAAATGCTGCACCTGCATAATCCTGAATCCTTCCAGAACGCAATTTCTGGGACGTTGGTCATGGGAATCCGTGAGGTTCTTGTGAATCTCTAAAACGAATGTTCGCGGCGATAAGGCGAGAACCACATATTGAAAAGGAACCGCTTTCAATCCGCGAAGCTCCTGCACATTTCTAATGCGAATGTATGCGTCGCTAAGGCGAGGGCGACATTTTGAAAACGACCCGCCCTCAATCCGTGAAGCTCTTGCAAATGTTCATAACGAACGTGCGCGGTGCTAAGGCGAGAGCGGAGGAGGGGTAGATCGAATAACGAATGGGTCCAGTGTTTGCACGAGATCGTATCTGCATCCTTCACAGAAGCAAATCTCATGGAACACATACGCGACCCTCAGGAATGGGAAAGGTTCGTTCTGAAGCTTATTCGCAGCCGGGAGGAGGCTCCGGACGAAGAGTAGAGATGAACCACTTTTTTGGCTCGGCCCGAGCGCCCTGGCCGGAGGGCACCGCATTGCGAATGCGATGCATGTTTTCGTTGTTCTCTCTCTTCCTCCTCCTCCTCCACCTCCTCCTTCTTCTATTGTCCTGTCCTGTCCTGTTTAGCAGGCGCTCTGGCTGTGAGCGCTTGAATTCAGACTTTTCCCGCCTACGCGCCAGAGGGCGTATGGCTTCGTGCTCGTGCTCAATTCGTGAAACTCTTGCATTTGTTTTAAACTGATGTGCGCGGCGCTATGGCGAGCGCCACATTTTGAAAACCACCCGCCCTCAATCCGTGAAACTCTTTCACATTAAAAAAACGAATGTGCGCGGCGCTAAGACGAAAGCCACATTTTCAAAACGAACGGCCTGCTCTCTGTGAAACTCTTGCCAACTTTTAAGCTTCCGGGTCATAAATGGTGAGGTAGTGTCAGGCAAAGCGCCTGGCCCGTCTTAAAATTTGGCCTCGGGGTGCGACAGGGGCAAGTTATTTATAAGAAAAAGGGATGGAGGAGGAGGAGGAGGAGGAAGAGGAGGAGGAGGAGGAGAATTGAGGATCGAGGATCGTTTTGCAGTTGTTCTTTGTGTATGTCGTTTTCGGGCCTCTGGAGGCCTCTGGCGCCCTCTTGAGGCTCATGGGGGAGCCAGCGGACAGGGGGTGAGGGGCGGCGTCGTCGACGTACGGCGGGTTGGTGGTCGTTGTCACCCTCGTCGTCGTCCTCCTCCTCGCCATCGTCTTCGTCCTCCTCGTCCTCCGGGAGATGACCTCTGGGGTCGTCCGCGAGGATGTGAGGGCCAGGGGTGGGTGGATACAGTCAACCCGCATAGTAGTAAGGATGCGCGATGAGGATGCAAGCGCCCTGGACGCCCGTTTCGAAGCCTCTCGAGCGGGGCGCGGCCAGCGAGAGTGGCCCAGGATGGACCGGGGAAGCAAGCATGCGAGGGTGCCCTTGTTCGGTTGCAAATCATGGGAGCCTGGTATAATCTTTTTAATTTTGTCTCGAGCGTCGATTCGCGTCGATTAGCGTCTGGGAGTCGATGAGATAGCGCCGATTTCGTGTCGTCTAGCGTCTATATGTCGTCGATTAGCGTCGAGTCAGCGTCGACTGGCGTCGATTCGCAAGAGCCGACAAGACGATATGGGAGGCCCCCCATGGGTTGCCGCAGAACCCTTGGGAAGGTTGCCCATTCTCACCATGCGGGTCGCCTGTATCACGACCAGGGCCGTGAGAGATCTTCCCGATCTCGCGTTGCCCCGCCTTCGTCCTTCGTTCTGCGTCCCCTGGCCCCTCCTCCTCGTCCCCGCCGCGCGCGCGCCTCAAGTCGGGCCCTGACCTTGGCGCTGGGACCCCCCCCCTCTTTCGGATCCCCTGGTCCTCCTCCTCCTCCTCCTCCTCCTCCTCCTCCTCCTCCTCCTCCTCCTCCTCCTCTCTCCTCGAGGACCACTCTGGGTTCCCAGCAAGGGCTCTGGCTTCTGGGCCGCTCCTCTGGCCCAGGCCCAATAGCGGACTTCGGCCCGGGGCTGGCCGTGGTCGCAGCCCATGTGCCTCTTTTGTTGGGGGGCAGTCCTCTGGTTAGCACGACCCTCTACAGGAAGCATGCCTAAACATAGTAACACATAACATGGGGACGTATTTAATTTCTTGATATGGTTTTTCGTCCAAAGCCCGCCTGTAGGAGGACATGCCCGACCTGATGGTAGCACGATGGCTCGTCACGACGGCTGCAGTTCCTTGTCTCGTTTCCCCAAGGCCTGCCGCGATCAGCGAGCTCGGACTGCATTTGTTCCCAACCACGCTGTGGTGTGGGGTCCTCGTCTTGAAGGGACAGCGCCCCGCGTCCCTCCGTCACTCACTCCTCCTCCCGCTCCTCCCTCCTCCCCCTCCTCCCTTCCATGTTGGCACACGGCTCACACGTGTCGTGGCCCCATATGGGCGCTCCACCGGCGGTCCCAGTGGCAGTGTCCACATGCGTCCCCGCCGCCCATATCGGTACACCCCTCACACGTTATATGGCCCCATGGGGAGCTCCCCGAAGGCCCCAGTGGCGGTGTTCACATGCGTTCCCGCCACCCATTTCGACACCCCCCCCACATGTGTCGTGGCCCCATGTGGGCACACGTTTCGTACCCCAATTAGGAGCTCCACCGGAGGCCTCAATGGCCGCATTCGTCCCCGCCACTCAGTCGGCACACCCATCACACGTTTCGTGGCCCTATAGGGAGCTCCACCGAAGGTCCCAGTGGCGGTGTTCGCATGCGTCCTCGCCACTCATGGCGGCACACCTCACACGTTTCGTGGCCCCGCAGGGAGCTCCACCGAAGGCCCCAGTCGCGGTGTCCACATGCGTTCCCGCCACCCATTTCGGCACACCCCACACACACGTTTCGTGGCCCCATGGGGGGCTCTACCGGAGGCCCCAGTGGCAGTGTTCGCATGCGTCCCCGCCCGTCATATCGTCACACCTCTCATACGTGTCGTGGCCCAGCAGGGAGCTCCACCGAGGGCATCAGTGGCACAGTTCGCATGCGTCCCCCCCACCCTATTTCGGCACCCTCCACACACGTTTCGTGGCCCCATGGGGGGCTCTCTTCCGAAGGCCCCAGTGTCAGTGTTTGCATGCGTCCCGGCCCGTCATGTCGGCACACCCCTCACACGTTTCGTGGCTCCATAGGGAGCTCCACAAAAGGCCTCAGTGGCACAGTTCGCATGCGTCCCCCCCACCCTATTTCGGCACCCCCCTCATACGGTTCGTTGCACCATAGGAAGCGCCACCGAGTTCGATACTCACAGCTGTGGTACTTACACCTGCATATGGTAGGGTCATTCGCCAGGATAACTTTCCTTTCCCCCCTGCGTCATGCTCGCCTGTCCAGCACCCTATCGTTGTCGCTCTCGTGTCGTATTCGTGGTAGTCGTCGTCGTCGTCGTCGTCGTCGTCGTCGTCGTCGTCGTCAAATGCGTCGTCTTCGCAGTCGTTGGTGTCATCGTTCTCTCGGTCGTCGCTCGGGGGGCTCTTTCAGTCTCCCCCCTTTCGCCTGGGGGGGGGCTCCTGACCCCGACCCCTCCCTGCAGGAGGGGGTGTTCGGATGCGTGCTTTCGTGCCTGCCTGCCTGCCTGCCTGCCTGCGTGCGTTCGTGCGTGCGTGCGTGCGTGCGTGCGTGCGTGCGTGCGTGCGTGCGCGCGCGTGCGTGTGTGTGTGTGTGTGTGTGTGTGTGTGTGTGTGTGTGTGCGTGTGTGTGTGTGTGTGTGTGTGTGTGTGTGTGTGTGTGTGTGTCTGTGTGTGTGTGTGTGTCTGTGTGTTCGTGTGACTTCTGGCCCATCTTCAGAGGGGCCGGCCGCGCGCGCTGCTAGTTCGCCCTAACCTGCTGTCCTGCTGTCTTCGCCTCGATGCGCGATCGCCCAAAGAGCGTGTGTGTGTGAGTGTGCCAAGACGCTTTTCGGTGCCCCCGTCTATCTCTACCGCTGGTGCGTCCAATTCTTCCTCTGTTCTTCCCGCGCTTTCGTGCCCTCACCTTGTTCTGGTGCGCCACGCCGATTGCTCGACCGACGCCTGCTCACTGGCGCCCGCAGACCAAACAGTTTCGGAGGTCCGCGCGGATGTCCGTCAGAGGAGCACGAGGCCACGATAGTGATGCGTTCCAGCATTTTCCAGATTTCTGGGGTTTCCCGCATGTCCTGATGCTCCACACGTGCTGCACAAACGAGGGCCGTTAGCTACTTTTGGAAATCCTGGAACGTACCCTGAGCCAATCTCATCATGAACTCATTCTCGCCCTCAGATCGTTGTTTCGGAGGTTCGCGCGGATTTCTTGTCTGTGCGCTGGGCCCCCCTGGCGGCACCTCCGGCGCCGCCCCTGGCGCGTTCCGCGCGTCAGGGAGGGGGCCCCCGCGCCGATCCCAGAACACCGCGCGGAGCTCCGAAAGTTGATGTTTGCGCATTTTTTTTGTTTTTTGTTTCCGCTGGTGTGCAGCTCGCCCGTCCGCAGGTCCAAGGGCGACGACGGCTGGTCGAAGGGCTGGGCGGGCGCCGGAGCCGCGGGCAAAGGCGCCCGCGGAGGCGGCGGCGGCGGCGGCGGCGGCGAGCGAGAGCGCTGGCGACGGCAACGGCGACGGCGGCGGCGGCGAGGGGCGAGGGGCGAGGGGATGTTGTCCTGCAAGGCCTTGAGCCCCTGGATGTGCCGCAGGCAAACGCTGGCCGCGTGCAGTGTGTGTGTGTGTGTTGTGTTGTGTGTGTGTGTTGTGTGTGTGCGTGTGTGTGTGTTGTGTGTTGTGTTGTGTTGTGTGTTGTGTGTGTGTGTGTGTGTGTGTGTGTGTGTGTATCGTGTTGTGTGTGTGTGTGTGTGTTGTGTGTGTATTGTGTGCGTGTGTGTGTTTCCCTGGGGGGGGGAGCGGGTAACCCTTTTCAGTATCTCATGGCCTTCGGCCCATTCGCCACCGTGCCTGCGTTGTGGGTCTGAGGCCTCTTGGATGGTTGTTGGGATTTTGTTGAGGCCTTTTGGGGACCTCTCGGAGGCAGTTGTGAGGCCTCTGGGGCCGTCTTGGGCTTTCTGGGGCCGTCTTGGGGCCCACTTGAGGACCCGTGGGGCCGTCTTGGGGCGGTCTTGGGGCCTCATGGGCCGTCTTGGAGCGTAGGGAAGCCGAAAAGGCGAGAACGCCCAAATCATCAAAACACCAACCAAAAATCTATGATTTTGGCCTCCTGGGGCCGTCTTGGGACGCCTCTTGGAAACTTCTCGGGGCGTCTTGGAGGCGTCTCGGGGCCCTCTTGGGCCGTCTTCAGGGCCTTTTGAGGCTCTCTTGGACCGTCTCGGGGCCCTCTGGGGCCCCAACAAGTCACGCGAGAAGCCGCGGTACGCCCTCCAGAAGCCGCGCCAAGCCCTGTGAGATGTGGCAGTTTGGGTTCTGGGCGCCTCAAAGACTCCTCAGGAGTGAGGGCTGAGGCTTAGCGGATTAGGCAAAAGACCTGAGGACGCCCACTCCGTGCCCAGCCGCACGGTGGCGGACTAGCCTCCAGGGTTCGAAGCTGTAGTCCTGAGGGGTATGTCCCTAATGATATAGGAAAGGCCACCCCGCCCTGTGTCCCCATGTCTCTTGAGGGTATATGATGCCGAAACAGCTTCTCCACGGACCTCTCCTGGGGTGCGTTCTGATAGGTTTTCGAGGCGAATCCGGCAGTGGCGGCAAGCGAAGGATAGCGGTATCGGTACCTCTCCTCGCCTGAGCCTCAGGGCGCCATCTTTGAAGCGGTGACGGGCAGCTTCTTGCCGCTGCGTGCACGCGAAGCACCGCCCACGTGTATGCACGTGGTGTGCAGCGAGGGGTCGGGCCGCCCCACCGCGGTCGCCGCGGGCGGGGACCCGGGAGCGCGGAGCCGTGCGATGGCCTGCTCCCAAGTGGCTACGGCAGGCTCGGGTCGTGCCGGCGCGGCAGCGGCCCCGCCGCGGGCGTTCGGGGCTGAACGCCGCCGGCGGCCCAGAGTCGGCCACGAGGTCCTCCTCCTCCTCCTCCTCCTCCTCCTCCTCCTCCTCCTCCTCCTCCTCCTCCTCCTCCTCGCCTCCTCCTCCTCCTCCTCCTCCTCCTCCTCCTCCTCCTCCTCCTCCTCCTCCTCCTCCTCCTCCTCCTCCTCCTCCTCCTCCTCCTCCTCCGGCGCCAAGTTTCATGGCGCCCACACCGCAGAGCGGAGGCCGTTCGGAAAACGACAGGATGGGCCCGGAGTGTCCTGGAGAGTTTCGTTCCGGTTTTCGAGGTGGCTTTCGTGCGGGTTGTTCTGGCCAGGAGTGAAGACTAAGAAAGATCCACGCGAAATTCACTTCGCTTTTCACTCGCCGTTTCGGGGTCTTGCGTGGACAGAAAGCCACGCCCAAATCCGCTGCAGCACGTCCGCAAGTGTGGCGCGCCGACGAGGTCGTCGCGGCACGAACCTGCCGCACGGACGCGGGTGTGGAGGAGCCCGGGGCACCGCTGCGGGGGGTGAACGAACGAACGAACCACCACTGCGGACAGCTGTCCGGGCCTGCTCGAGACCTGGTGGAGGAGGCCGTAGCCTCTTCAAACCTGGAGGAGGCCGTAGCCGCTGCGGGGGGGGATGCTTGGGCCACGGGCGGCGGGGGCCCTCGGGCTCGAGGCTCCCGGCTCTCGGGCCTTCTCGCGGGGCCTCGGCGCCCTTTCCTCCGGCCTCGGGCTGCGCTCTCCAGCGGCCGCGCCTCGCCGAGGGCGCTCCCGGGCTGCCCGCAACGTTAGAGAGGGTATGCTCGGGGGGGGGTATAGACGCCCCATCGCCTATCCAGCGCTGATCTGTCGGGGTCTGGGTGGCTTTGGGAGCTGGTCTGGGTGTCTGGTCTGTCGGGGTCTGGTCTGTCGGGGTCTGGGTGTCTGGTCTGGGTGGCTGATCTGTCGGCGTTAGGCGTATATGCGTGGGAGGCTCAGACGCCCAATCGCCTATCCATCACTGATCTGGGGCCCACGCCGCTCAGGAACGTGCGGCCTCGCTGTCGGGGCTATCGCGGATCCGTCGGCGATGCATCGCCGATTCTGGGTCGATGTCCCCTTACCCCCCCTGAGCCAGACCTCCTCCCCAACATTCCCCCTCGAGGAGGAGGAGGAGGAGGAGGAGGAGGAGGAGGAGGAGGAGGAGGAGGAGGAGGAGGGCAAGGTAGCTGCGCTCGCGCCACGTCTGACATCCTACCCCTCCCTCTCATCCTTTTTCATCATGCTCCATCTTTTACTGATCGCTAATCCATGAGTCGAATGATATTGACAGCGCGAGCGGGCCAGGGGCCAGACGAAGGCGTGGAGGAACGGGACGAGGAGGATCAGGGGGAAGA